TGTTATATAACATGTGTCATGTCATGTTATGTTATATAACATATGTCATGTTACGTTATATAACATGTGTCATGTTATATTATATAACAAGTGTCACGTTATGTTATATAAAATGTGTCATGTTATGTTATATAACATATGTCATGTTATGTTATATAACATATGTCATGTTATGTTATATAATATGTGTCATGTTATGTTATATAACATGTGTCATCTTATGTTATTTAAAATGTGTCATGTTATGTTATGTTATATAACATGTGTCATGTTATGTTTTCAGTTATATAACAAATGTCATGTTATGTGATATATAACCTTGGGTCATGTTATGTAATGTTATATAACATGTCATGCTATGTTATATAACATGTGTCATGTTATGTTATATAACATATGTCATGTTATGTTTTCAGTTATATAACAAATGTCATGTTATGTGATATATAACCTTGGGTCATGTTATGTAATGTTATATAACATGTCATGTTTTGTTATATAAAATGTGTCATGTTATGTTATATAACATATGTCATGTTATGTTTTCAGTTATATAACAAATGTCATGTTATGTGATATATAACCTTGGGTCATGTTATGTAATGTTATATAACATGTCATGCTATGTTATATAACATGTCATGCTATGTTATATAACACGTGTCATGTTATGTTATATTACATGTGTCATCTTATGTTATATACAATGTGTCATGTTACGTTGTGTAACATGTGTCATGTTATATTATATAACATGTGTCGTGTTGTTATATCACGTGTCATGTTATGTTATATAACATATGTCATGTTACGTTATATAACATCTGTCATCTTATGTTATATAACAAGCATCATGTTGTGTTATAGATAACTTGTGTCATGTCATGTTATATAACATATGTCATGTTATGTTATATAACATGTGTCAAGTTATGTTATATAACATGTGTCATGTTACTTTATATAACATATGTCATGTTATGTTATATTACATGTGTCATGTCATGTTATATAACATGTGTTATGTTATGTTATGTTATGTTATATAACATGTGTCACGTTATGTTATATAAAATGTGTCATGTTATGTTATATAACATATATCATGTTGCATGATATAACATGTGCCATGTTATGTTACATAACCTATGTCATGTTACGTTATATAACATGTGTCATGTTATATTATGTAACATGTTTCATGTTATGTTATATAAAATGTGTCATGTTATGTTATATAAGATATGTCATGTTATGTTTTCAGGTATATAACAAATGTTATGTTATGTTATATATAACCTTGGGTCATGTTATGTAATGTTATGTAACATGTCATGCTATGTTATATAACATGTGTCATCTTATGTTATATACAATGTGTCATGTTACGTTTTGTAACATGTGTCATGTTATATTATATAACATTTGCAATGTTATGTTATATAAAATGTGTCATGTTATGTTATATAACATATGTCATGTTACGTTATATAACATGTGTCATGTTATGTTACATTATATAACATGTGTCATGTTATGTTACATTATATAACATATGTCATGTTATGTTATATAACATGTCTCATGTTATGTTATATTACATGTAACATGTTATGTTATATTATATGTGTAATGTTATGTTGTATAACATGTGTCATGTTATGTTATATAACATATGCCATGTTACATGATATAACATGTGTCATGTAATGTTATATTACATGTGTCATGTGATGTTATATGACATATGTCATGTTACGTTATATAACATTTGTCATGTTGTGTTATATTACATGAATCATGTTATGTTATATAAAATGTGTCATGTTATGTTATATAACATATGTCATGTTACGTTATATAACATGTGTCATGTTATGTTACATTATATAACATATGTCATGTTATGTTATATAACATGTCTCATGTTATGTTATATTACATGTAACACGTTATGTTATATTATATGTGTAATGTTATGTTGTATAACATGTGTTCTGTTATGTTATATAACATATGCCATGTTACGTGATATAACATGTGTCATGTTATGTTATATAACATGTGTCATGTAATGTTATATTACATGTGTCATGTGATGTTAAATGACATATGTCATATTACGTTATATAACATTTATCATGTTATGTTATATAACATGTGTGATGTTATGTTACATAAGATGTGTCATGTTTTGTTATATAGCATATGCCATGTTACGTTATATAACATGAGTCATGTTATATGTTATATGACATATGTCATGTTACGTTATATAATATGTGTCATGTTATGTTATATAACATGTGTCATGTTATGTTATATAACATGTGTCATGTTATGTTATATAAGATATGTCATGTTACGTTATATAACATATGTCATGTTATGTTATATTACATGTGTCATGTCATGTTATATAACATGTGTTATGTTGTGTTATATAACATGTGTCATGTTACCTTATATAACATTTGTCATGTTATGTTATGTTATATAA